CAACAAAATACATTCTTCCTTATTCAATTTGTCCTTATCAACATCAAAGAGGAATAAATGAAAGTAAATGTATTCCTAAAGATAAAAGTTTAAATGAATATGTAGAAAGTAATCCAATTAAGTTTACAATTAGAGATATTGTTACTGTTTATTCTATTTCAGATATCAAAAAATTAATGATGAAAACACTTTCTCCTTTAACATACGGATTAAACACTGAATTTAATACAATGCTTTTCCCTTGTAACAAATATAATTCAATGTATTCATCTGATGAATGTAAATATTGTAAAACTCCTTGTGGCTCAGGGTGTTGTACAAAAATATCATCATCAATGTACCATAAAGATGGTATGATTGATCTTTCAGTTGGAAGTGTACGAAGGGCTGGACATTCAATGCTTGTAGTTGGATGGAATGATGAATTTCCTGTAGAAAGAAATAGATATTCATCTCCTCCAATATACACTGCAGCATGGAATGCTATTGACAATAAAACACAAACTAAACTAACAAAAAATAATGTTGAAATACCATTAGATCGATGGACAAAAGGTGGACTAATACTAAAGAATAGTTATGGAGAGCATGGTCATACATTAGGATATTTTCTTCAGAACCATTCTTTATTGAATGAAGATACAATTTGTCCATTAAGTATTCACCCAAGTAGATATTATCCACTTGATGTAGAGTGTATTAAAAGTGGAAATAGTTTTATGAATTGTTCAAATGATAAACTACGTAAAGTGAGTGATGGAAAAATATTTTATGGAGCAACAATACTTAAATGTAAGAGTGAATTAGGTAACGATTATGCTAAAAATCTTGGATTTGAGGAATGTGGTACTAATAAAGATTATAGATACGCACTATCCATGGAATGGTTTAATGTCACTTTTAAACGTGGAGTATGCAAAACTAGAGAGATGGGAGATGGACTTATTGTTTATTTAGCAAGATGGGTAGAAGGGAAAATGAAAGAAACGATCACAGAAGTACATACTCAAATTACTTCGTGGGATTTTATTGCACAATTATTTGAAATGGATACTACAGTTAAGAACTCAGAACATTGTGGGTATTATTTCCAACCTTATGATACTATTGAATACTTAATTTCAATGTATCAACATGATGGATTTGAATCATATGTTTGTTATTTTATTGTTTTGTATCTCAACCAAGGGTTGATTAATGATAAAATAGGGATTTTCTTATTACGGCATCAAATGGGAACAAGAGTCATATTATAAATCCTCGAAAAGAAAAGGACAATTTACAGAAATCAATAAATCAACAAAAAAGTTTGTTACACCTCAATTTGATGGGCCTTTTGGTGGTCGTATAAATTAATATTTTATACAAAGTCAATGAATTGAATATTTGTTCGTACAATGAGACATAAGAATGTTTTTTTTAAAAAAAACAAATTTATTTCTTTAAAACAAAAATGTTTTTTTATTTTTAGAAAAATGGAAATGAAAATGAGATATGAAAAAAAAAAAAAAAGAATGGAACTTGAAATTTTTAGATTTTTTTTAAAAAGCTTTGTTTTCATTCTAAAGGTAAATGAGTTGCGAAAAAGCTTTTGGAATCACTATTATTGGTTGTTTATTATCAGTTCTCATAGCGTTTATTGCTGCAGGATTTGTACTATCATTTTCTATTCCTTCGTATGTGTATAGTAAAGATCTTGAAAGGTTAGTGACATGTGATACAGATGGTGTACTTGAAGGATGGAAATTTTCATATAAGTCAGGTTATTATTTTGGGTTATTAAATATAATTTTTGTTAGCGTATCTTTTGGGATTGCTGTCTTATCTTTCATTCCAGTTGTTGGGTTGTTTGATTTTATTCTTGGATTAATTACAAGTTGTGGTTCAGTTGCATTCTTTATCATTGGTATAATTGTACTTGCCAAGGGATTATCAGTAAGTATTAATGAATTAGATGAAGAAAAAAAAATATGTTTTGAAAATCAGAATAGATGTTGTTTGGATGTATTCAATTGTTCAGAATGTACATATACAGATGAAACTGGTCAATTACAACAATGTTCAGATGATTGTAATGAAGCTGTTGTCAACCCAGCAGAACATTCCGTCAGAGTTATCGGTTCTATGCTAATTGTAGGTTCAGGGATGATGGGTTGGTATATTGTAACAGGTATTTTCACGTTAGTAGCAGCGTTTGGATTTTGTGCTTTTTGTTGCGATGAATTTTAATTAAAAATTTTTTTTGATAAAAATTAATCAAAGAATCTTGAAATTATTATTTTATTTGCTATTTTCGTTATCTGTTAAATAGAAAAACTTATTATTGTGAATAATAACCGTTAATCATTTATTTATATTTTGGCTGTAGTGTTTTAAATAAGAAGAATTAGGTTATAATTTTATGAATTTACTAGTCAACTGAATTAAACTTTTGCTAATAATTCTAATAATGTTTGATAAGAGTCAAAGTCTTATAAATACTCTACAATTACTTACACTGTATCAACAAGTTTTATTAAGAAAACTAATTAGAAAGTTAAAATTATAAAAAAATTAAAAAACTTTTGGAGAAATTTCGAAAAAATCAATTTTCTTTCACAAGTTTAGCATTTTCTTCTTCATCGATTTTCTGGTCTAATGGTTCAATGAATGGGAATTTAACCACTCTATTATAAACCAATGTAGCAAAGAATAAAATCACAAATCCAGCAAGTTCTAATAATGACCACCATGAAAGTTTCTCACCATGTCCAGCCCAACAAAACTCAATAATAATCATTACAAGCCAAACACAGGCAGTTCTTGCACTCTCAAAGAGAGTTCTGTTAACAGCATTGAAAGCATCAGTGACCATCATACCATAAGCATTAAGTCCAAGAACAGCAATAGCAAAGATAATAGTTATGATAATAATTGATGAGCTATTAAATAAACAAACAAAAGAATCATATGTGTTTTCAAATGAATTGTGTTGCATTGTACTGTAATCACTACCTGGCACGAAATATCCAAATGGACAAGCAATAAAAACAGTTTCTATAAGACCAAAAATACCTTCAAAGGCAACAATTTTTAATGGTGGAAGGGTTAAATTCTTCATGAAAAATTCTTCAGCAACAATTTGTCCAGCTTGAATAAATTGGGCAATTAAAATCATAAGAATACCCATTGCTGTTTGGAATCCAGTTGTTTCGTTTAATCCAGTTGATGGTGTACCAATTGCAGCTACTCCAACTAACACAAGAGCAACTACACTAATAACAATACCTATCAATTGTCCATATCGTACTTTCTTTCCAATAAAAATTCTTGAAAGGAATGATGAAAAAATGATCATTGATCCTCTAAGCATTTGGAATACACTAGCTGGAGTATAAATTAAACCAAATGTCATAAGAGTTGATGCAATCAAGTCAAAGGTTGTTGGAATAAGAATAAGGAATACAGAAGCTTGTTTTTCAGCAACTTTTTCTCCATCTTCTAATTGACTATAAGCAGCTTCTTTGTTGGATCTTCTTTTATATAATTCAATCAATTTTTCAATGAAAAAACACAATGACATTGCAAAGAACATAACAATTGATTGGAAAATAGGTTTGTCAAATGTGTGAGGAACTCCATTATATCCAACACATTCTACATCTAATTGAAGCTATTTTAATTAATTTCTTTTTTCTCGTTTTTTTTTTCTTATAGAATTCTTTTAAATACCAATTTTGAGATTGCTAATCAAATCTAAATGAAAAACTAATAACTTTTATAACCAATTAAATGTAAAAAAGAAATAACAAACTTTCATCGTAACTGAACTCCCTGTACCAAAAAGAAGCATTCCACACAAAACATGAATTTTATGAAGCAATTCTTTGCTGATCAACATGATATTTGGATTTATTAGTTCTTACTTTTCCTTTAAGAAAGAATTGTGAAATTTTTTTTGTAAAGAGTATTAAATTAGAAACACTGAAAAAAGAGGATTTTAAGTTTTCGGAAATTTGGTGTTCATTGGAAAAGTCCTACCAACCAACAAGGATTAGACATAAAGAAACTACTAATTATTAAATGCACTAACAACGTAACTTTTCCATTCATTTATTGGAATCTTTTTTGAAACTATTTCGTCAAATATTTGAATGACTGATTTTTCATATACCTGTTGATGACTTAATTTGTATTGAACAACAATAGTAGCTAATAGTTCTATTTGTTCTTCTTCTTTCATTAAACAAAGCCATTTTTTATCATTAAATTTATCTACATATGATTTTAATAGTTTGAATTGTTCTTCTATTCTCAAATGATTTTCTTGTAATTCTTTAATTTCTTTTTCCATTTCTATGCATTCGTTTAACTTCTTTTCTTCTTCACTTTTTATAACAAGTCTTTCCTTTTTTTTAGTATTTAATTTTTCTTGTAACTCTTGAACTTCTTTCATTAAATCATCTTTATCACTTTGTTTTTCATTATTTTGTTGAGCTAATTCTTTCTCTTTCAAAATCCCTATCTCTTTATTATATTTTAATTCATTTAATTGGTGTTTCATTGTTTCTTCTTTCTTTTGTTCTTCTTGTCTTTTTTTGCTTTCTTCTTCTATTATCTTTTTGAACTCATTTGTTTGTTGAACAAAATAATCTTCCAGCCTTTTCATGTTTTCAATCATTTGTTCATTTTCTTTATTTTGTTCTTTAATAGTCATTTCCATTTCTTCAATAGATCCAATTTCTTTGCTCATAACAATTCGTTCTTTATGACAAATCGTTTTAATTTCATTTAACACTCTTTCAATTTTTTCTTGTTTATCATTTACATTCTTCAGTATCTCCTTAATTGTTAATTCGGTGTTATCCCTTATTTTTTCAATATCATTTACGTTATCTCTTTTTATTTCTTGTATCTCTTTCATTTCATGAATCCTTTTTCTCTTGGCTTCGTTTTCTTGCTTGATTCTATTAATTTCATTATCTAATCTTTGAAGCTCTTTTGTTTTGTCAATACCTTTTTCATTCTCTGTTAATCTTTCTTCATGAGAAATAAGTAATTTATTTTGATTAAGTTGTTCTTGTGTCTTTTGGACTGAAATCTCTTGTGAGATATTTTTTTCTTTAATTTGTTCTTCTGAAAGATTTATTTCAGAAAGTTTTTTATCTTCATTAATTATAATTTTTGTATCACTTTTAGTAATTTCTTCTGGCCCTACTTTTTCTCTACTTTGTTGAACTATTTCTTCATGTCTATCACTTTTTTGTTTTGTGGTTGATTTTCTTCCTTTTGGTTTAAGAACATTTTTACGACTTTGCATTTTCATAATTTTTATTTCACTTTCTTTAATGCCTTCTTTAATCGATGCAACTACTGAATCAATTTCTTCTTTTTCTTCTGTTTTTTGATTGTCTGGATAATCGTCTGTGCACAACTTTTTCTTTTTTGAGGAAGACACACCCCCTATTTGATTTTTTATTTTATCTGTTTTTTCTGTTAATACCTCTTCTGGATTGTTTATTGTTTGGTGTTTACTTGTCCTTTCATAATTTAATTTTTTTTCAGCTTCAAAAACTGAAGCACCTTTTTGTATCTTTCTCTTCTCCATAAACTTGTTTTTTTCCAGATGCTTTGAAATAACCAAAATTAAAAATGATATAAATAACAAAAATATGTATTTAAAAACATAGAGCAATTGTTTGAGGAGAAACAAAAAAAGAAGGCTCAGTTTATTGTGACAAAGACAATTGTTTTTTTAATATTTCGATGGTTTGTTGTTGTTTAGAAGAAACTTCTTTTAATTTACGAAGGATACTTTCAAGTTGTTCAACCTTTCCTAAGAGAGAGAGTTGTTCATCATATTTTGGTTCTTCCATAAAGGATTGTGTCATGCATTGACGTTTGCTATGTTGTCTTGAAGCAAAAGAAAGGCTTTGTTTATCTGTAACAATTCCTTTATCAACAATTGGTGTTGATGGAAGAGACAAAGGAGAAGAGATAACAGAAATAGGATGACCCTTAGGAGTATGAACAGGAGATTGCCAAGTTGTTGAAGTATGAAACTGTTCTGAGTATTGAAGAGATGTAGATTTTTTTAAATCATCTTTAAGTGAAACAGCATCAGGTTCTGATCTTTTTCTTTTTACTTTAGGGTCTGATATTTGATCTTTAGAAGGGATATTTTTATTCATCTCTTTCATTAACTCCAAGTGTGGACGTGGTAAACTTCTTTTTTCCGGTTTTTCCTTTGGTTTTAATTGTTTTAATTGTCTTTCTTCAAACTTTTCTTCTTTCTTAAATTCTTTCTTTTTATTTGGAATTTCACACCCCTTTTCTTCTTTTATAATTCCCATCTCTTTTTGTTTTTGTGTAATTTCTGCAATAAAAAGTTGGTGAGGTGTTTGAGGTGGTGCACAAGATTCTTTTGGAGTTGTTGTTTTCTTTTTGTAAGACATTATGATTATAACTTAGTTCTTTGTCTTATCTAACAAAAGAATGTAATGTTATCATTTTCAAAAACAACTTAACATTAGAATTTTATAATAGTTCGTTACTTAAAAATATACTTTTATAATTTTCATTATAATATACACAAACTATAAATAACATTATGTAAATGAAATAAATTAACCGTATTTGATGGTAAATTTAATTATTTATATTTATTGTAAACTTATACTATATTTCTGTAAGAAAAACTTACATAAAATCTTGAAAGAATACATTAAGAATCTGTCTAAATAACATTGATTCTTTAACTTAAATAAATGAAAAGTGAAAACTTTAAAGAGAAATAAAATTAAGTCATATCTTGAATAAAAGAAAGTGATGAGCACTAGTGTAAGTGAAGATGATAGTATCACATCACCTAAAAACATCCAATACGAGATTGACGAAGCTATCGAAAAACTAAGAACAGTTATAGATCTCTATAATAGGGCACTTAAAGACAAAAATCGTTTCGAAGAAGTTGGTAAAAATGCAGACGATAAGATAGAATTACTTAAACAAGACTTACAGGAATGCTTGGCAAATGAACAGAAACTTCAAAACGAATTAATTGCCGAAAAAGAAGAACATGAAAAAGCAGAAAAAGAATTAAAACAAAAAACTATTGGAAGTAAAGTTCTTACTGCTCGTTGTCTTGTTTACACAAAAGATGGAATGATAGAAGACGTTGAAATGATTCCTTGGGATGATGATTTCGATGCTTCTGCAGATGTTATTAGAAAAATTAAAAAGACACAAACAAACATAGTCACTGAAAAGAAAGAAATTTCAGATAATCTTAAAAACAGTCAGCCTCAATCTCAGTTACCTCTTTCAAATGAACAATCAACCTCATTTAATACAACTATTCCTCCAAAAAATTTTTTAGTTAGACAAATTCAAAAGGACCTTAAAAAATTTGAAAAACGGTCTGACGACATTATCAAAATTACACAATCACCAAATCACTTTGAAAAGAAAACCAACCTCAATTCATCAAACCAAAATTTTTGGTTTGTAGTTATTATTATATTCCTATTGACAGTCATTTTATTTTTGATTGCATCTATTCTACTCCATTAATTTAATTTGTTTCAGTTTCTTCTTTGTATCATCAGACTATAAAAAAGAAAATAAAGAAATGATAACAAAGATGAAAGAACATAACAAATAATATTTAAAAATAAAAATAACATAAAATTTGTTAATCAAAAAACACAACTGATTACTATAAAAATGAATATTAAATAAAATTTCAGTTATTTTCTCTCATTTTTGTTAATTTATTTTCTCATTATTTCTTTCTTTAAAATTTACTTAAATCTTTTTCTTCTAAACCTTTAAAATTATTTCTTATCTTATTTAATTATGGATCATTATATTCATTTAGAACATAAATGATAACATGACTATCACCATCATAATGAAAATTCCTTTACTTCCATTGCAGTTTCCTTCTTCTAATTTCCATCCTTCTTCACATGATGTGCATTTTCCTTCTCCTGAACATTTAGTACAATGTGCCATATGTCTTGAACATGGAACACATGATCCCCAACTTGATGTGTAATATCCTTCTACACAAACACACTCTTCTCCTTTCACTTCTAAATATTCTGCGTTGCATTTCAAACATTCATTTGAATTACATGAATCACAGAATTCATTAACTTTGGCTTTACATGATTCACATTCTATTGTATTATCTTTTGTTGAATTATTTTGAATATATCCATATGCACATGTACATGCCCCATTCAATGGGAATTCTGAAATATGATCTTTTGTTGAACATTTTGTACAATGTTCTACTACTTTCTTCTTCTCTGAATTACATCCACTTTCTCCTTCTTCACAGTCCTTCATTACTCCAATACATTTAGTGCATGGTGATGTACATGGTATACATGCTCCTTTAATTTCATCAAAATAGAATCCATCTGCACATGAATTACATCCTTTTCCACTAATTACCTTATATGTTTCGCTCTCACACACTGTACATTCTGTAGCACTAGTACATTCACTACAATGATTAGTACATGGTTTACATTCTCCATTAGACATATAATATCCTGTCTTACATCTATCACACTTACTTCCTACTTTTAATGAATCAGTACATGTTAGACAGATGTCTTGATCTGAACAAGTCCCACATTCAGGATTACATTTAGCACATCCATTATTTTTATTACCTTCTCCCTTTTCTCCATTTTTTGGATAATAGTTAGACAAAGTACATGCAGTACAATTGCTATAAGGACTACGTCCATTAAAATTTTCTGAACATTCTGTTGCATAAATATATCCTGTTTTAGCATCAACATTACATGTATCAGTAGTTTTACATCCTTCATATTTTGAAAGTTCTGAACAACTCTTACATCTTCCATTCTCAAGTTGAACTGTTTCTTTTGGACAAGCACATTCTGGTGCTTTAATGTCTTGAGAAGTTGTATCAGTACATGTCAAACATTCAATTTTCTTCGTTGGGGTATTATATTTACATGTTTTGCACTTTGCAGGACATGGACTACAATACACTCCATCCGTTGGGTTTTCAATTTTATAAAATCCATCTTTACACTCAGTACATTGTACATTTGAGCCACTAGCAGTAAGAATCAAATTATTATCTTCACATGTAAGACATGCCGTTGCTGAACAAGATGAACAATGTCCAAACTGAGCTTGTTTAGTAGAACAAAGAACACACTCATTTCCATTTCTATAAGCATTAGGAGAACATTGAGTACAAGCACTAATTTGTGAACCAACGATATAAGCAGGATTATCACAATCAAGACATGTAACATATCCATCACTAATCTCATACTTACCTTCATTTTTACAGTTTTTATTTAATTGTGCACAACTTTTCTTCTTATCTTCTTCATTTGGTCCTTCTTTATAATCATTACTAACACATGCACATTTTTTGTCTTTATCCCTTGTAGTAACTCCTTGAATATTTTCATAACATGAAGTACATATGACATTATTTTTAGTTGAATCAAGAGCACAACTTGAACAGCTATCTGGACACTTTTTACAAGTATTGTCTTTGTCAAAATAATGACCATCACCACAAGAACATTTACCATCACTTCCTACATGTGATCCAACTGGACATTGTGTACAAATATTTTCATTTGCTGCTCTTTCACATGATGGAAGTTTAGTTGCTATTGAAACACAATCTGATGATTTATCTATAGATGTTGGAATGTATTTTGCTTCACATTCACAATCATTCTTAACATCTCTAGACTTACCAACACAACCAATGGTAATTTTAGACATATCTTTAGAGTTCTTAGTGACATTAAAATAGTAAGGTAGGAAAAGATCTGTAAGTGGACAATAATAAGTATTATCTGATGCTTTAAATGCATTCAAATATTGTTCAAATTGATTGTACCCTCTCATTTTACACACTTTATGATTTTTACCACTAATACCAAGTACATCATTAATAATAGTATTGTAACAATGAGTTCCTTTTAGTGTAAGTCCATTCTCACATTTATAACAAATAGTATCATCATCACTACATGACAAACATCCTGGAAGTTTACATGGTCCAATTGTTGAAGTTAAGTGAGAATTTTTAATATTTAATTTACCTGGAACAGGTGTTTTAGAAGTAAGACATTCAGTAAATGGATCTGGACAAAGTGAGCATCTCTTATTTTCTCCATCTTTTTCTAAATAATAGCCTGGTTGGCATTCTGTTTTAGCTGATGTTGTGAAACCATCGTACAAATTTGGTGAACATTTTCCTTCAGTTGTTAGGAAATATCCATTATCACATTTTGCACATTTATTTTCTTCAGTCAAAGAGAACAAACGACAATGATTCTTAGTACAAAATCCACCAGAAACAGTACATCTTTTATTACATGATGTACAATGTTCAGTATTATAAATACTACATTCATTACCTTCTGAAAGATTGTTTGGATTATCAATTGTACATACATTACATTTAGAGTCTTTTAAATAATAGCCTTCCATGCAGGTCGAGCATTGATTACCATTCATTTTAGAACAATGGTCTGGATATTTGGTACATTTTTTCTCAGCATTAATATAATATCCATCTGCACATTGGTTACAATCATTTACTACTTGTAAAATACAATTACTAATCTTTTCATTCTTTTTAGTACATTTACCATTTTCAAGTGTATAATTTCCAAAACATTTGTCACATGTCTTTGAAGAAGTGGTTGAAGCTAAAAGACCGATACAATTTTCTGCATGGTCATCTGTAGTTGCATTGTCGCATCCTTTTGAACTTCCAGTGTTAGTTGTAGACATTCCAATTATACATTCTTCACATTTAGTGCCACTGTCTTTAGAAAGACAAGTATCACAATTATCAACACCATTTTTACATGTACATTTTTCAGAATTAGAGTTTGGTGGTGTATTGGCTTCTTTTCCATTTTCACAATAAACACATTTTGGAGAACTAGCATTACTGTTATCATAGTAAGAAAATGTAGTTTTACAAATGTCCTGTTTAAGAGTACATTTTTGGGTATTTGAAGAATCAGAAGAAAGTTCATAACCAACATCACAACTAGTACATGCCCCATTTGAAACTGATGCACAGTGTGGAACAGCAGTTCTTGGTTCTTGGCCTTTAATAAGTTTATCAGCTTTGTACTCACCAAGTGAAATTGATATGAATAAAAGAATAATAAACATGAATAAAATAAGCAGACGAAGATCTCTTAAAAAGGGAGAGAAGAGCTGAAGTGAAAACCAAAGTCTTTGTCTTATCTTTTGTGCTGTTCCTTACTTACAGTTATTTTCTTTGTTAATAACCGAATTGAAACTAATATTATTTTACTACTTTTTTGAATAACTTCCTTATAGTTTTTTTTTCATTAATTAATAGTAATTAACCTAAAAGAACCTTCCTTTTTTCTTTGTGTTATTCTTATTCTTGCTTTTGTAAAGAAATGTTAGAATTTAGTTTCAAGGTATTCAGACCATTCTTCTGACAATTTCTTGTATATCTCTTTTGAAAAAAGACAGAAACTAGCACTTGTTATACTTGAGAAATTTTAATAATGTTTTATTAGAATTAATTAGTGTTTTTGAGTCATATGAATTCGAATAATTCTCCTTATTTGGTTTATAACTTTCAAATAAAGGAATATATTTTGTTTTCTTAGATTACAAGTTTATAATATATTTTATATTTATTTTTATTCTTTTTATTTTATAACTTTGAGAACTATTTTAATTTACTCAGATAATTGGTTTATTGGTCATTGTTTTGCCTTAAATAATACGTAAGTCAATAGGCTATTATGTGCTCATAACTTAATGCCCTATATGGTCTTTGTACTATCTCTTCTTTTAAAATGTGTTGTTTTCTATAAAATTAATAAAAAATAAAATAAATAACTCATTTAATATCATTTTATGCTTTTCTTTGTTGATAAATCTATTTCTGAGTCTTATTCTACAACTATAACATAGCTTATAAAAGTGTATTAGTTGATTATTATATATAACAAAAATACTAATTCCTTTATTGTGTTTAGATTGTTTAAAGAAATTGGACTACTATAATACGCCATAGTCTTCTTACCCTTTCATACTATTTCAAAGTAATTTAATACTAAGCGTTGAAATTGATTTTAAAAACAATGAATGTTCAATGAAATAGATTAATTCTACAAATTTAGTCAATTAAAAAAATTTAATGCAATTGCTATAAACAAGTTGCTAAAGGTAGAGAAAGGGCTTGTGAGGTTGTAATTCTACAAATTTCCTTATTATAAATAAAGAAGAGAATTGTATAAAACAGTATTATAATATCATTGGCTCTTATTAAAAAATGAGTGTAACAATTCAAAGTCTCTGATTTATAGAGTGTTCAACAATGAATAAAAAGAAATTCCAATCAGAGAAAGTTAGGCATTATGACTTTCATCCTCTTTTAACAGACATAGAGAAAATCTGTTAATAAGTATTTTACCTGCTAAGCCTCAATTGATTTCTGGTAAAGTTAAGTTAGTTGGTTTATTTTTTATTTTGTCTTAAGATTATTCAAAGAAGAATTCTGATGGGTGATAATAAAAGAATCGATTTATTAAATTAAATTGTAATTTGTTAGTATGACCGATACGAATAATATGAACCAGCTCCAAGAATACTTTCTTCAAGAATACCATATTCCATCATTTCATTTTGAATCTCTTCTTCTGTTTTTTCTTGTTCAATCCCTTTGATAATTTCATCGATGATTTCAGAACTTAATGAATAACTAAATTCATTATCACAACTCTGAAGCATTCCAATAAACTTTCCATTGTCAATTAATCCACCACCACTCATCCCATCAACAATACTACAATATGTACAATGAATAAGTTCTTTTCCTTTGAGAGATGTACTACATATTTGCCCTTCTACTTCTTTTAAATTATTTATATTGACTGGATATCCAATATGTTTCTTTGTACTATTATTTGTTAAACTAATCTTTATTTTGTTTTCTGCAATAATTTTCATCTTTGTATGAGCACTAATCACAATAAGATCAAAACACCATGAATAAAACAAAATCCTTCCTTGAATAACTTGTTGTGTTATTGGATTAATAATTTCTACTGGGGAATATCTGTTTTCAAGTAAATGAGATGTTGTAACAAACATTGTTTTTTCTCCCCAGTGTTTTATTCCACAACAACTTCCTTCTCGATTTCTACTTCTTATTTTATAAATTCCAGTTGAATTATCAGTAACTAACTCATTGAAATTTCCTATTGCATTTATAACAAGATTAATATTGATAATTGTTGTTGTATTTTTTCTTGTGTCTGTAAAAAGAATTAAACCAATAACTTGACTTTTACAATTCATAACAAAACATCCACTAGAATTTCGAGGTGAGTGTGGTTGAACAATACATCCAATAAGTGAATTTAAATGATAATACCTTTCTATGACTTTTGCTTTGATTTCAATGTGCTGTAAAATAGATGGTCCATTAGTAGAATCTCCATACCTTATTATCACTTCATCACTAATCTCACTACCTACAGTATTTTCATTCCATTCTATATCATCACACATCTGGTATTCAATCATTAAATACTTCTCAAAAAGTTGTCTTTCTTCTTTATTAATAATGTCTTCTTCTATTTTAACAGTGATGATATTAACTTCTTTACTTTGAATTTGAATTAGTTCACCATTTCTCTTTATAGTTTTCATTTCAATAACATCATTCTGATGAATATTCCACCCATATTTATTGGTTAATCCAACAATGTAATTATCCATTTTTATGATAATTCCATTTGAATTAAATTCATTATGAACAAAACTTGCTTCTTTCCATTTCATTATTCTCTTTTTTGGTATTAAGTCTATCTCTTAACAAGTTTTCATTATAAAATAGAACTTCACTTTCTTGTTAATTATTTTCTTTATCCAAAAATGACAATAAGACAAAATAGAATAAAGTCATAACTAATGACTAGTTTTTTTACAATTTCAACACAAAAGAAAATAAGAAATGCCAAAAGCAGTTATATGTGAGTAACTATAGTAAAATCCAAAAAGTTTCTGTATGAGAACATTTGATTATGTTTATAATTGTTTAGTCATCCCATTCATCACTATCGTCTTCAAAATCATCACCATCATCATCGTCATCAGCAATATCTTCTCGTCTTTTTTGCATAGCACTTGCAAGTAAACTAGTTAGGTCAACTTTCTGGGTTTTATTGAGATTAGCCATTGATGGTCTTGGAGCATTAGTATCAACTTTTTTCAGTTGTGCACCTTTTTGAATTTGATCTAATAACGAAGGGGCAGCTGGTGCGGGTGGTGCAGCAGGGGCTCCATGACTTCCTCTAGGAGGAGGAGGGGGTGGAAGATCACCTTGAGTTTCCATTGCAAGAGGAGGGGGTGGGGGTGGTGGGGCACCACGAGGTGATGCACCACCTCTAGGAGGAGGAGGGGGTGGTGGGGCACCAGCTCCAGAGTCTTTTCTTCTTGGAAGGGCAGGTCTTGGAGCACTTCCAGATGGTCTTTGAGGTGCTGATTGGGCAGGACGAGCACCAAGACCTCTTGAAGATGGTGGTAATGGAGGGGGGACAACAGCATCTGAACTACCCAATGAAATTTCATGAACTTCAGGGGTATTATCTTTACGTTGTAATTCACCTAAAATTTCTGGTGGAATATTTCCTGCTTCAACTTGAGCAGTGATAATTCCAAATAACATTTGGACAGTATCTGGATCAGCTAAATCACGTCTTTTAACACCAGCATCTTTTAAAATTTGTTTTAAATCATCTGACATCCACTTTGTATTAATAAGAATTTGTTTTTTATTCATAATTAAATCTTTAACTCTTCTTGGCCATACGTTTTGAGTCTTTGATAACTTTTTAATTTTAGGAGTATTTTTTTCTAAAAACATAGCGTTCAAAGAAGAAGAATTTTGTTCATCTTCCAGAAAAACGAACATACCAGTAATTAATTGACAATACATTTCACACATTAAATTTGTTGTTTCAGTGAGTCCTTTAACAATTCCTTTTTGAACAGTTTTTTCTGCTTCATTAATACTTTCCATCAATGCTTTTAAATTATCTCCTTTTTTTAAATTTTTAGCTCGTTTTGTTGCTTTTTCTTTTGTGTCTTCGTTTTTCTTTCTATCGTTTTTAACATTTTCTTTTGTGTCTTTAATTTTCTTTGGCATTTCACTAACTTCTCCACGATAGATTCTAATAGTATTGTCAACAAAAATTTTATTAGATTGAGTCAATGTATTGGCTTGTGTTTCTAACATTCCTGCCACACTTTGAAGTGCTGTATTAATTAATGTACACCCATCCATAGTGACTGACATTCCTTTTAACTGATTAGCAATACCAATAGCACATGAAGCGAGAGTGGTTTGAGCTTTTGAATAAGCCTCACAACTTTCAATAAGTTGTTTGTATGTTGGAAGAATTGTAGAGAGATGCTTTAATATGAGAGAATTCATTTAAGTGAAATAAGAAATAAATTTAAAAAGAACAAATAGTACTATTGACTCTAGAAATAAAAAAAAAGAAAAAAAAATTGAGTTGAGTACATAATAAGAAAAAAACAAACAGTAAGCATGGTTGATGTTAACTCATCCATTTCTTTAATTTCAGATGATGACTTTATAGTAAAATCTTCTTGAGTAGAATTTACTGGAGGATTATTTTGATTTTGTGTCATGCAAATGAATTTTAAGATTTTCACTAAGAAATGAACTTTTTGTTTCAATAGCATTTTTGTTAATTCCAATTTTCATCTTTTTTTTTCCTTTACAAAAAAAATAACTCCGTTTAGAGCAATTGTCTTAATAATTGCTTTTCATTTCATAAAAATCCCCAATCTTTAAAATAATCAATTCGAGATGGAAAAAAGAAAATTTAATATAATCTGAACTGATAATTAAAGAAATAAAAAGAAAGAAAAATGAATGAAGAAAGAAATGATCCAATTCAAGTTGTTAAAATTGAACAACCAATAGATACTATTACCATATTAAGTTCTTCTACTTGTTCATGTTTATTACAAAATAATATTTTATTATTTGGAAAGAAAGGTATGATGACTGCTATTTCATTAGACAAAAATAAAATGACTGTGTTACATCAATACTCATTTAGTGGAACAATAGAACAAATGTGGTATCACCAACAAATGCATTTACTTATCTGTTTAATTAATAGTAAGCTTGAATCATTTCAAGTTGACTTAAATAAAAAAGCATCAAATGAAGTATTTAAACGCATTACTACAAAACAAATTAAAAATACTGGACCGTTTGAATGTTTTAGTACATTTGTACGTAAAGGAGTAGTTTTTATTGCTGCTGTAGATACAAAAAAGAAGTCATCAATAACACTGATTGAATCCAAAACCGATGGAATATTTTATAAAGAGACTAAAGTTTGGAATGCAGAAGATAAAATTGTTGGATGTAATTTTGTTAATCAAAATTTAGTTATTGTTTATTCCAACAAAATACAAATTATTACATTCTTTGGTAAAAGTGAAACTATTTGTAATAAGTCTATTAATCCATTTAAAGGTAAACCAAGATTTTTAGAATTACAATTAAATCAAATTCTTGTTCATACAGGAAATTGTGTTTATTCAATTGAAGAAGATACAGTAAATTTAGTTCCTAGTGATTATTCTGTTATTACAATAAGTAAAATGTCTCCATTTATTTTCTTTATGCTAGAATTTGCACACAATAAATTTTATATTACTTATAGATTAGAACCAATGACACATACCTCACCACATTCATTAGATTTTAGAAGACCTGAATATTATAAAGGAAGTTATATGCATGAAGCTGTACCAGTATTTATCAGTGGTACAAATAAACAATTAATTTATTTTACTCCAAATCCTAAATGGTATGAATCTGCAATTCAAAATGGACATTACCAAAGTGCAATTGAATTTATTACGTTATTAGGAAATAATGCAGATGACCATTCAGAACAATTTAAGCGATGTGCTTATACATTAGGAGTAATGAATAAAATTATTGAATTTTATAAAAATGAAGAAAACAGAACATGTGAAAATATTATAACTATTTTAAATGATTTTAAAATGGGTGGAATTAGTCCAAAGAATATATTAGTCTTTTTAGAATTATTTTTATTCCATGATTTTATTACAGACCTTCATACATTATTTCAAGATTGGTTTACTGTTTCTATTGAAAATTGGAAGAAAGATATGGTTAAAACCTTCCCTGGACAACTTGTAAAAAATCTTCAAGATGCTTTAGAAGAAGTTATTAAAGAAAAAAATACTGCATTAAAAAATAGTAAAAGTGTTCCATTACAAAATCGTTTTAATTCAGAAGGACATTCTACAAAAGAAATTATTCAAGCTATTGTTACTTATCTCATGGCAGTAAAATCACAAATCGTTAACAAAGAACAAATCGATGGAGAAACAAGTGAAGAAAGAGAAATATTTTATACATCATTAGTAGTTATTGTTTATTATCTCTCACCTAATTCTAAAGAAATGCTTGAATTATTACAAAATACTAAATTCCTTTTTAAAACAGTTATCTTAAAAATTTTAGAAGAGAATACAACAATTAACAAAAAGTTACTTATTGAGTATTATATTTCTCAAAACCATATTGATGGAGTATTTAATATTAGTGGAATTAGTTATTATGATAAAAGAAATGCAGTAATTCGTATATTACAAAAGAAAGAAAATGGTGATAGAAATAAAATTTATAAAAAAATTGAAGAACTTATTGAAGAAAAAATAGAAAATAACGGTGGAAGAAAATTTATTGAAGAAAATAATATGAAATTACAAGACGAATTATATTTAATTTTTGGGAAAGAAAAATCAGTATTAGATCTTGATGAAATTTGTAATATTATTGAAGGGTGGGAATTTGGTATTAAAGAAGAAAATGAAATAAATGAATTTAGAAGTAGATTAAGTTGTTTATATTGTTTAAAATGTTATAAAGAACAAGGAGAAACAGAAGAACTTGGTAAAGAAGTTATTGGTAAGTATATTATTCATATTGGATATGCCTCAATAAATAATATCATATTAACTGAAGAATATATTAAATCGTTTATTGAAATATCAAATAAATATCCTTCTGTTGTAGAAAAAATTAATTATTCAATAATTAGTCCATTGTATTATAAAATTAGAGCTTGTATTGGTCTTGTTCAACACCAAGAATTAATGCCAATGTTATTACAAATTTGTAAAGAATTAAGAGGACAAGAAGAAATTTTAGATAATATTTATAATGATTCGTTTAATCAATTAGTCAAATTCATGTTAAATTTATTTAATCAAAAAAAAATTACACATAGTATAACTAATGAATCATTAATGACATTGTTATATTCTCCTTCTATTCAAAAGGTTCTTAAAGAAGAATACATTCCTTTGTCTCGTGTTAATAATTTGTTTGCTGAAATTTCACTTATTATCTTTACATCAACAAATCCTATTGAAGTTTATCATCAAATCCATCAACAAATTGTTGAAGATCATCTTCCAGGTACAGTTATTAGATTTATATGGGATCTTGCTGATCCAACAACACTACCTATTAAAGGAGGAGATGAAGAAATTAAAGAAGAACTAAAAATATTTGAAGGTGATGAAGATAGACAAAGTATTTTAGAAGGAATTATTGGATATTTAGAAAAGAAAAAGACTAAAAAACCAGAAGGAATGTTATTAACTGATTGTTATCTTGAATACTTAAAAATTGCTACTAGTGATAGATTAAATGCTACATCTAAATTAAATGATCAAATGCAAAATACTCCGTTATTACAAAAACATATTGAAAAAGATTATGATAAATTACCTTGGATATTACGTTGTAGAATTCAACATACTAAATGTAAATATAAAGGATTATTAGAATATTTTAAACAAATGGAAAATCAGTATTCACCTACATTTGCTGAAGATTCTTTTTGTGAATTAGATAATTTTATTAGAAGATTTGATTGTACATTTAATTTCGATGGAACTTCAGGAAGTATTGCTAAAATGGTTAGATTAATTAGACAAAATTATCGTCCATTCAATAAAGTTCATCCAAATCATATTGGAGCTGAAACAATTATGTATTGTGTTTGTCAAATGAATATCAGTACAAATACTTCTGCTTTATTATCTTTTTTGGTTCATTTATTATTAGAGAAAGACAATAAATCATTTAATAATCCATTTCCAATTTCATTTGCATTAGAATTATATGGTCGATTCTATCCTATTATTCCTTTAAAATTTACTGAAGGTGAATTTAAGTGGCTTGGTGTTAAATTTGATACATTTGATTTAAATATTAATATCGAAACTTGTTTATTCAACAAGATGCTTGATCGTGTAGAAAGTTTTGATGATTTACAAATTTTACTTCCTGCCATTTATTCTTATGCTCGAAAATATTTCTACCTTTCTATTTATTCAAATGCTATTAAAGGATTAACCATAAATTCTAATAAACGTTATGAAATTATTGATCGCAAAACAGTTTGTTACAAATGTCATGACCAAATATCAGCTACAAGTGCTTTTGTAGTGAACAATGGCCAATATGCTCATGAAGATTGCAATGAATTAAACCTTGAAAACCCAATTAATTGATTTTTAAACAACATATTAAAATTTGAAATAATAAAAATTAAAAAATAGAAATTAATTGGAGAAGATTGAAACATATGCAATTGCTGCAACACAAATTACTATTGTCATAGTTATTCCAACTAACTTTAAAACACTCATTGGATTAACAATTGATGAACATTCTCTTAAAAATTTTGAAAGTTTAGGATTGTTAGAGTAAGTTTCAATCATCCTTGAACAGAATAATTTTAATTCATCGGTTTGATATGTTTTCACTATTTGAAGTAATTGCTCTGAGTGTTTAAGGTTATTTAAAACATAATCATCCCATGACCTAAATGCCAGTGGATCAATAACAAGCATTTGTGCAGCTAAGTCAACTGATTCAGATAACCCAAATTCAAAGATTTTAGGTGGGACTTTTCCTTTTAATAAATTAGGGACTTCAACTAATTCTACATAATATTCTTTTAATGGAGTTGAATCAATTTGAAGAGTATATGCTGCTTGGAATGCTTTTAATGAAACAGCTTGAGGCGATTTAATTTTCTTAATAGCACTTAATAATTTCTCAATAATTTGTTTATGAAGAGTAAGATCAAACTTAGAAAGAGATTGTTGATGAACTAAAACTAAAGAATATACTTTGTAAACTTCATGTTGAATGAATAGATAAATCAAATGAATATCAATTTCTTCTTCAGTAAATTGTACTGTTTCAGTTGATAATGACAATGCTTCAATATAAAATAATTTTCCAAGAGAAAATGATGAATCATTTTTATATTGTTTTAAATAATTCTTTCTTTTAGATGCACTAATTTGATTTAATATTTGATTAAGATCTTTATTATCAGCAGCACTTAAATGATTGAATGGATAATAATCCATATTAACTTGTTCATTCCATTGTTCAAAATATTGTTTAAGCATTTCTAATTTTTCTTCTTCATTGATAATATTCTTTTTTCTAATTTCTTTTGGTAGTCCCTTTAAATTAATTTTACCATTTCTTTCTTTAATTTCTAACTCTACTGGCTTATTTTTCTTTACTTTTTTTTCTTTAACTTCATTCTCTGTATCAAATTCTTCTAAAGCATTTGATTCATGTATTTCTTCTTTAACCACTGTACTCACTTCTTCTTCAATAACTTCCAATTGAACTTTCTCAGAAGAAGGTTCAATAAGAGTTTGTTCAACTTTCTGATTAAGAGCTTCTTCCTCTTTTCTTAACTTTTCTGCCTTCTTTTCATTACGTTCATTTCGCTTTTGTTCTTTACTTTTCTTTGTAGTTTTATTGTTTTTCATTTTTTTTTCTGTTTCCTCAATCTTTTCTGTGTCTTCATTCTTTTCTTCTTTGATCTCTTTTTTCTCATTTCGATCTGGTTTGATTCCAAGTAATTTTTCTTCTCTTCTTCTTTGTTTCTCTTCTTCTTTTTTGCGTTGTTCTTCTTCTTTTGCTTTTTCTATTTTCTCTTTTTCTTTCTTGGACAATTTCTTTGCTCCTTTTTCTCTTCCTCCCCGTTGCATCTAAAAATCTAAACTTATTTTTTCTTTTTTAAGTTTTTTTAGTTTCTAATTTATATTTCATCCAAGTAAAAAACCATAGATTTTGGTATTTATCTCTAGTTTCAATAAGTGTCTGTAGTAAAACAGATTACTAAAGCCTCAGATGTGTGGTATTGGTTCTGATATATTCTATAATTTATTTAACTTTTTACAGAGAACTTTTGTTATTGAACAATAAAGAAGAATAAGAAAGAAGTTATAATAATACTTTATTAGCAACACAATAAGAATAGATTTGAAAAAGAATCTTCTAATCCAGATTTTTGAGATGATAGTATTTCAAATTAAAGAAAATGTCAGGTGAATCCTCTTCATTCTCAAATGAACATTCATTAGGAGATACAGTAGTTGGTTATATATGCTTGTTTATTTCAGTAATACTCTTTGGCTCAAATTATATTGTAACAAAAAAATACCCAGTTGGAGATGGATTTTATTTTACTTTTATGATGGGCTTAGGTGTAATGGTTGTAGGGGTATTCGTAATGTTAATACGTGGTACATTCCATCAAGGCCCTATATTTTTAGAACCATTTTCTATGATTGGAGGATTACTCTGGGCGACAGGGAATCTAACTTCTGTTCCAATTATTCAGTGTATTGGACTCTCTCTTGGTCCAAGTATATGGGGAATATTTAATATGATCACTGGCTGGGTAACAGGTACTTTCGGATTGTTTGGTTTAAATGCAGATAAAGATGATATCAACATATTTTGGTTAAATTGTATTGGTGCATTACTTGCTGGGTGCTCTGTTCCATGTTATGCAATGATTAAAGTTAAAAGTAAAAAAGAAAGTCAAGAAGAAAAAATTAATATCAAATATAAAAAAATTGAAGAAAGTCCTCTTGTTCAAACAAATGATGAATTTGTTGAAGAACTTAACCATCATTCAAAAGATGGTGACGATGATGAAACGCCAATATCTAAAACGATCGAACATCTTCCAAAATGGACTAAAATGATTCTTGGAATTGTATTAGCTATTATCGCTGGAATAATGTATGGATCGAATTTTGATACTCCAAACTATTTAAGAAACAATGGTTTAGCATCTCCTGATGGTATAGACTATGTATTTCCTCAATACATTGGAGTATTTTTGGGGTCTGCCACGTATTTTATGATGTATGCTATTATATTTAGAAATCAACCATTTATCTATAATCAAACTGCTATCCCTGGTCTTATCTCTGGTGCAATGTGGGGAATTGCTCAAGCGTTATTGTTCATTGCTAATACAAGTTTACCGTATGTTGTTGTTTATCCAATAGTCACTACAGGTCCTGGACTAGTAAGTTCACTTTGGGGAATCCTTGTATTTAGAGAGATTAGAGGAATAAAAAATTTCATTTTCTTTGGCTGTGGTACTTTGGTGTTGTTTTCAGGACTCATTTGTATTATTTGTTCGAGATAATTGAAAGATTTTTAAGAAAAAAAAGGGAAAGAACGAAAAAAGAAGAAATGGAAAAGAGGAAAGAAGAGATAATAACGAGATATAAGAGAGAATATGAGACGGTGTTTATAAAGAAACCAAAAACGGTAATGACGAAGAGTGAAAGAAGAAAGGAAAAGAGAGGAGAAGAGGGAGAAAGACTTTTGATTGGAAGAGAAAGGAAAGGGAAGATAGAGGAGAGAAGAAGAAGAGGGATAGAAAGATATGTTAAGATAGAGAGTGTGAGAAAAGCGTATGAAAAGAGAGGGATAAAAGAGTTATTTGAGTGGCAAGAGGAATGTTTAAAAGAAAAAGGGGTTAGAGAAGGGGAAGAGAATTTAGTGTATAGTGCGCCAACGAGTTCAGGGAAGACATTAGTGAGTGAGATTTTAATGATAGAACGATATTGTCAAACACAAAAGAAAATGATATATATAGTACCATATGTTTCAATGGCACAAGAAAAAGAAGAATATTTTAAAGAAATATTAGAAAGTATAAAGATAAATATTAAAGGATATTTTCAAAATCGAAAGATAGATAAAGAATTTGATATTGGGATATTTACAATTGAGAAAGGGAATGGAATAATTAATAAAATGATTGAAGAAAAAAGTATAGAAGAAGTAAGTATAATAATAATTGATGAAATTCATATGGTATTTGATAAAAAAAGAGGACAAATAATAGAAAAGATAATAAATAAAATAGGAAGTTTAGAAAAAAAGATACAAATAATAGGGATGAGTGCAACAATAAAAAACATTTCAATATTTGAGAAATGGATAAAAGCAAAAACATATGAAAGTACATATAGACCAATTAAAATAGAAGAATATATTGTTTGTAAAGGAAAAGTAAGAAATAAAGAAGGAAAAATAGAAAAGATATTAAAAGAAGAAGGAGATATAGAAAATATAATTGAAATAACAGAAGAAGCAAAAAAAGAAGGAAAAGGAGTAATATGTTTTTGTTCAACAAAAAAAGGATGTGAAAAAATGGGAAAAGAAATTGTTAAAAGAATAGAAAAAAAGAAAATAGAAGAAATTAATAAAGAAATAAAAGAAGAAAGAATAGAAATGATTAAAGAAATGGAAAGAAGTAAATTTGGAATAGAAGAAGAATTTAAAAATATGATTAAATATGGTATTGTTTATCATCATTCAGGAATAACTATTGAAGAAAGAGAAATAATAGAAAAATCATTTAAGAAAGGAATTATTACATTAATTATTGCTACAAGTACATTAGCACTTGGAGTAAATCTTCCAGCTAGTCGTGTAATTTTTGATAAAGCAAAAATTGGAAAAGAATATTTAACTAATACTCAATATCAACAAATGAGTGGTAGAGCAGGAAGATTTGGAATTGATGAGAAAGGAGAAAGTTATATTTTTTGTAAAGAAATAGAAATACCTATTATACAAAATATTATGAAAACAATAAATAATAACAATAAAGAAATTAAAGAAGAAAAACAAGAAATAAAAGAAATAGAAGAAGAAATAGAAGAAATAAAAGAAGAACAAGAAATACAAGATAAAGAAGATATTTTAGAAGGAATTTATAATGGAATAATTGAAAATAAAAAAGATATTGAAAAATGGATTGAAAAAACACTTTATTGGTATAAAAATAAAGAAAAAAAAGGAGCAGAAGAATGGAAAAAAATATATAGTGAAAAAATAATTAATATATTAAAAAATGATGAAGGATTAATTGAAGAAATAGAAAATGAAAAAGGAGAAAAAAAAATTAAATGTAATCAAATAGGAAGAGCTATAGTAAAAGGAGGAATGGGAATTAATAAAAGTAAAGAAATATATTTTAATATTAATGAAGGATTTTTAAAAAATAATAATAATATAATAAATAAAGAAATTTATTATTTATATTTAGGAATTAATTATGATAATGAAATAAATTGGAATTGTTTTGAAAAAAAATTAGAAGATATTGAAGATTTAAAAAATAAAAAAATTAATTTATATAATGAATTTAAAGAATTAATGAATATTATTGGAATTAATCCTGTATTTATTTGTTATATGGAAACTATGAAAAATGTTAAATTATCTAATAAAATTATTAATAAAATTTTTATTCATAAAAAATTTTATTATTTAATTATTTTATATGAATTTATTAATGAAAAAAATATTCTTCAAATTATCAATGAAATGGGAATTACTAGAGGTATTTTACAACAATTACAAAATAATACTATTACTACTTTAAATATGATTATTCAATTCTCTATTGAATTAAATTATTTTGATCTTTCTCAAAATTTAAAACTTTTAATAGACCGTATTAAATTCGGTGTTCGTACTGATATTCTTCAAATCATCCATTTAGATGGTATCTCTATAAAAATCGCTCGTACTTTCTTTCTTTTCGGTCTTAATAATATCTCTAAAATCGCTCATACTTCTTTTCTTGATATTTTTTCTATTATTCATCATTCTTCTTCTCATTCTTCTTCTTCTCATTCTTTACTTCAACTACAAACGGACTTAGAAATTACTGAAAGAATATTACAAAGTGCACAACAATTAAATGTCTTAAATCATTCTCTTTCTTATTATTTTCTTTCTTCTTTCTCTTTTTTTTATTAAAATGAAAATACCCACAAATGAAGTGATATGAACGATGTCACTAATTATCGTCCTATCAGTTGTACAAATGTAATAATGAAAGTATTTACCTCAATATTGAAAGAGAAGATTCACAATAGAATTAACATGAATAGTGAATCATTAAAAATTAGTAAAAATCAATTATGATGTAAACTGCAATCTCTTGCTGATAAAGAAGGATTAATTAACAGTTATATGTTAAAGCAGCAAAAAGAAGAAAAATACACAAAATATGTAGAATCATATTATGACATTAAGAAAGCATATGACTCAGTAAATCATGAATGGGTAATAGAAACACTTAAATATTTTAATGTAGAGGGTATCATCATAGACATTGTAGAAAGTATGATGAACAGATTGAAGATATTCATATGATATAAATATAATGAATATCTAGGATGTATTAAATTGATGAATTTTACATTGTGATTCATTATCATTTCTACTCTTCTTCATCAAATGAATGTAATTTCTCAAATCATAGAAGAGAAGTTCCCAAAAGCAAACCATACATTGTATATGGATGAATTGAGAATAATGACACAAAGTAATGAAGAAATGGGAACAATCCACAATGAAATTAAACAAATAATAAGTGGAATAAGGATAGAAATGAAAAGAAATCAGGAATGGTATTAAAGAACATTAATAAAATACCAGATGGAATGCAAAACATCACAATAATTGAATGAGAGGACTTGTATAAATATTTAGGAGTATGGCAGTCAGATGAAATTAATGATACCTTCAATTGTAAAATCATCAAATAAAAGATGACGAAGAAAATGGAAGAAATAAATAGTGATGAAAGTAGTAATAGAAGTTATATTACAAGAATTAATACTGAAGTAATACCCATCTTCAGATATTCAGCATCAGTAGTAAATTGGAAGGTAACTGACCTAGATAGAATGGATTTGGAGATAAGAAAATATTTAAGAAAGGCAAAATACATTTGTTGTAACTCCAAAGACCGTCTATATGTCAATATAAATGAAATGGGTGAAGGATTAATAAGCCTAAGGGAAGAATATGTTAATGAAATAATTAGAACAGTAATGTACTATTGTACAAAAGTGAAATAAGAAATAACATAATAGATAGATGGTATTCCAAGAAATGAATATGGAATAGAATTAAAAAATCACTAATTCATAAAATCGCAGAAACGAAAATAGAAGAAATAATAAATGAAATGAAAATAAAAAAGAAAAAGAAGTAGTATTAAAAATAAAGAAAATAATGACCGACCAATACATCAAAAAATGGAAGTCCCATCAAACAAGTTGACATTTTAGAAGATGGTTCGATTCAAAAGGGGTAGATAAAACTATTACAATAAATACATTGAATTCAATCAACATAAAGAAGAATGCATTTATCCAATTAACTAAATAAGATGGAGTAATATTTAGTGTGTACAGGAAAGATAAAATATTAAAAAATGAAAGATTGAAGTAATGCCCACTTTGTAAATACAAGATATCCACAGTAGAACACATTCTACTATCTTGTATTTGTCATAATAAATCACAAATTGAAAAACATGACAATATTGGCATCATCATATGAGTTAATAAGAAAATACACAAGAAATAAACAATACAAGAAATCCTCATATGAAACAGTGTTCCAATACAATGATTTATCACTATGATATGGAACAAACAAATATATCAAAAAGTGATGGACTATATCATAAAATACCATAGATATATACGTAATAAATAAAAAGAATAAAACTGATCTATTATTTGATATGATTATTGTGGCAGATCACAATATTAATGGAATATATTTGAATAAAAGAAATAAATATAAAGAAATGAAGAATATGATAATTAAAAAAGAGAAATTAGAAGATATCAAAATAAATACAGTAATAATTTCAATAAATTAAATAATAAATGTAGAAATATTAAAATAATTAAATAATTAAAAATCGAAATAGACATCACCAAAGAAATCAAAAACCATGTAATTAAAAACACGATGGACGTCATTGAACACTACATCTATCACAACAAAACATATGTTGTTGAATTATATGATGAAGACTCATTGATGGGATAGTCTCCCCTAAACCAGGAACAATAGACATAAGTTCTATTAA